TATTTTTATGTGATTCCTCTTTTTGCAATAGGAACACAATGGATATTGACCTTTCTGTTTGCCTTGCTTCTGTCAAATCCCTTTTTAGCCCTTTTATCCCTCTCATTCTTCTTAAAATTCCATTTCCAATTCTACAACTTCTTTCTTTGGTTCTTGTCGTTAAGGCTTCTTTAGTGTTATTTTCACCTCATAGAGCCCTTTTTTGCTCCTGGGCCTAGAGTGCATTAACTAACTTAGTAAAAGTTAGTGTTGTTAAGTCTTTAGAGTCTTCTAAAAATGAGATTTTTTTCTTCAAATTTCTCTAGAACGCTAACCAAAATTTTACTCACTATTTTTCTCCTTGGTAACTCTTCTTGCATTAGCCTTAATTGATTAACGAGTTTCATAACCTTCTCTGAATACTCCTTAATGCTTTCATCTTCTCTGATCCTCAAAACCTCAAATTCTCTAAAGAGATTTAAGATTTGGATTTGACAAGTTCTGTCACTTCTTTGAAATTCTTCCTTAAGTTTATTCCAAGCTTCCTTAGGAGATTCACAAGCCATTATATGAGTTAATATACCTGTAGAGACAGCTGAATGTATACAAAAAAGAGCTTTATACCTGTTGGCAACCTATTCACTGTGTCGCTTCAATTAAGCCATAGTTGGATGCTAATGCCTCATAACAAGGACCTCACCTCCGACTTCAACAACATCCCACAAATCAAAAACTTTCCAGTAAGTTTTCATCTTGATTGCCCAGAGTGGATAGTTGTCACCATTAAATGTTCAAGCAGTGACATTAAAGCTCACACGCACCATTTTTCTCTATGTGATTTTCTAAGATGAGAGAGGAAACACTTGGTAAGGTTCTTCAATGATTGATTTTTTTGGTTTTCTAAGTAGGGTCCTTTAAGATCGATTGAGAAGCTCTAATACTATGTTGAAAAGGCTTAAAAATTATATTTTCAATGTTAGGCAGTCAGAGAGTTGAAAGGAAGACGATGAGCCAGAAAAAGGAGAAAGAAAAAGGTTCTCGAAGCATCATTCAATTGACAACAAAGTAACAATACCTTGGCAAATGAGAGGCACAGCTCATCAACAGTGTTCAGTTCTTAGTGCTAGACCACCATTGGCGTTACTACACATGTCCAATCGACCAACGATTTACGAAGGAAAGAAAAGAAATAAAAAGTCTTAACATTTGAACCTAAAACATTGCATAAAATAGTCTTCAATTTAAGTGAACCACAAAGCTTCAATGCTACTAGGAAATGCATAACTCAATTGTAAAATACAAGTCAATTTTAACAAGGACTCAATTGCATAAAATGTTAGAATCCATGAATTAAATTGATCAATTTTAAAGTAAAATGATTAAACAGATAAAAATACTATAATACATGAACCTGTGAGATATTTTGAGAATTTTTTTTCCTTTTATCTGTGCAATCAAATAGTGGTCTCAAAAACCGTAAAATCCAAACATTCAAAGAAACCATTAATTGCACAATCTCACACTTGTAAAATTTAAGAATATGAAAACTTTTCTTTACAATCAATTAAATTGAAGGTTTGAGTCTTTGGCAGCAGCAAGACTCCACAGAACACTGAAAGAAAGGAAACTAAAATTGGAAAAGATTAACAACAATATAGAAGATGAAATCCTCGAGCAGGCATCGAACTTGAAAAAAAAAAAAATCTTTTCTTGTGTTAATTCGAAGTTGGACTTAGAATTAAGAAAATTTGGCAAGAAAAAGAGAACCAAGGGATTAATGATCATGTGCTGCTATTGTTTGACAGATTTTGAAGCATTATTATTAATGTCTCACTATCAAACTTAAGTGGAAAATTTAATTTGGGAAATGAAAATTGACATTCAAAGGTGAATGCCAAATATGAATATGGTGAAGGACGGATAATATATGGTTGATTTGCTTTAGAACCAAGCCAGGTTATTGTCAACCATGATAGTCGGAAGACTGGTGACAGAGATTATTGCCAAAGTTTAGGGAGAGGAGTTTGAAATTAATTAAGAATGAAAAAAAAGTGTAAAAGGAAAAGAGAAAGTTAAATGCCATAAGACAAATTATAGTAAAAAGTGAAAAAAATAATTAAAGGCATGGTATTAGCTTTCAAATTAATAGAAAAAATTTTAAGGGCGACTAAATATTTCGATTTATAAATCTCAAAAGATAAATTTATTTCACTTCAAATCATAAGGTATTTTTAAAACGTGTTTTTATTTAATACATTGTTATTACCAAATTTAAGAAGAGATAATATATTAATTGCAAAAACATCTCTATAAATTCACCTTAAGACACTCCATAAGAGTTCCCTTTAATATTTTTTGTATTCTTTTAGTCTGAAATATTTACTATTACTATTAATTAATAAAAACCAAAGATTAATAGTAAAAAAGAAAAAAGTAAAAACATCAATTCAAACAAAACCTTAATTAACTTATATATAATTTATCAGATAAATTTTGTAGCTAAAAAGAATGAAAATGAATTTAAGGAAAAAATGAAAGGAGAAGAGGGAAAATGAAAAGGATTATAATATTGCTTATTTGTCAGGAAAATGTTGGAGATTAGGGGAATTACAAAGAAACCATGTAATTAACACCTATTCACCATATTTCCATTATCACAAGAAGAGGACAAAATTTTGTTAAAGTTTTCATAATCTATATTTATATATAAAATGAAGGTCATATTAATTATCATGGTTGTGACATGTGGGATTTGTTTTGATTGCTATTAATAATAGGGATTTATAGTGAAAGACTATATTCCTCACTAGGACTAAGACTAGGATTGGTGTAGAATGAGCTTGACCCACCCACCTACTAGCTCTTCATCTCTTTCATTTCATTACCTTCTTTAGGAGTTATAGCATACTATACAACGTAATACATTTCTTGAACCATCTCTATCTGTAGCTTGTTTCCATGTTTCTATTCTTTTTCTGGTTTAATCTTCTATATAATAATTAATTAATTTCTTTTGTGGCTTTCATCTTTCTTAAGATATACAATGGTAGGTGATAGTCAAAGTAAATGCTCCCAAATTTTGGGCGTTAACTTGTGTGCCACAATTTGACCGCACATGATGTCTAATTCTAATATTTGGCCACTTTTTTTTTACTTTATTTAATTACTTCACAATCCAAATATATAAATTATAATTAAAAATATAATAAATAATAATAATAATATTTTTAATAATAATAATAATAAAATGATGTTTTTGTAAATTTTACATTACATTTCATATATATATATATATATATATATATATATATATATATATATATATATATATATATGACAGAGCTTTACAAGAGTTACCTGAGGAAGACAGGAGTCAAATCAGGAGGCAAGAATACACAGCTTGGACTAAAAAACAGATTGTGATGAGGTCAGAATGATGTCCTTTTGAAAACGCTCATAATACACATAAATATATTTTATTTGTAGAATATAAGAGGAGAATAAATTTTATTTGGTAAAAATAAAATAAGGTAAGAATAATTATTATGTAGTTTAATTTATTAAATGGAATTGTTATTTTCACATTATTTCTTGATTGATAAAAATAATTTGGAATAACAAAAGAATAGGTGATAAATATATAAAAATACTTTTTATTACAATTTGTGATTTTTAATTTTAAATATTAATTTTTTATAATTTATCAAAAATATTAATAATTATTAATTAAATTTTATTATGATCATTTAATTCAATTTAATTTAATTTTCTCTATTTTTCTTTTAAAATAATAAAATATTAACAGTTTATAATTTATTTAAAATATTAATAATTGTAAATTAAAATTTTAGTTTGATTTCTTAATTTGAAATTTTAATTTTTTATAAATTATATAAACTTTTAATTTGATTTTTATTTTATTTTTATTTTATTTTTTTCCTCTTTCATCGTTTGGTGACCGCAGATGCGGTTGACGCAATGAAACCCAACATAGATGGCCGCTAGAGCATCGGAGGACAGCAAGGAAATGAAAAAGAACAAGAGGCGAATTAGAGAGAGGAGGAAGAAAGAGCAAGAAAAACAAGAAAATAAAAGGATTCCTTTTACATATTAGGGTTAGGTTTTATTGCATATAAAGTAATAATTTCACAAAATAATTAAGGGTATTTTTGTTTAAAATTTTTTTAATCTATTCTATCGCAAGCCGAATATCTATTATTCATGAGAAATCAATAATAATTATTTCAATTTCTCTCGAAATGACCATTTTATGAACTAAACAACAAAATAATAGAGGAAAAAGAAGTCTTGAGGAATTGCTCAAATTAAGATGCTGATAGCAGCTATCATTAAGGAAAGAACAAACCAATGGACCGTTGTTCACACTCATTTTCTCTTCAATTGACTTTTCGTTGATTCCAAAGGTAGTACAGTTTTGAAATCTCTCTGTGAATTTTGCTTTGAAAGGTCAAATCATTTTTTTTTTTAAATAAGAAATTTCATTCCATATCAGAAAGGTTTAACAGAAACAATATCAAATTTAAGTACAGAACATATCCTACTGCATGGAATAGAGCCTCATTATAAATCCATGAGAAGAAAAATGGTCAAATGAATTTATTGCTGATAAAATTCATTACAAGAGGTTCAGGTTTGCCCACATAGCCAAAAACAAGCATCCCCAAAGGAGAGCCTCCCTGGGATAACCCTGCACCAGTTTACAATTCTTCTAAAACCCAAGTGACAGAGCCATATCAGGAAGTCATAGCAATAACAATAAAGTCCACTTCCCACTTAGTTGGACAACTAAAACATATACAACTTCATTGGGACTCTCTTGTCTTGACTTGGATTATTGACTTTTAAGTTTTCTGGTTTTTTATACCGGATGCTAATTTTCTTGAATGTGCATTTTTCCTGCTAATTTCTCAAATTTAAACAACATCTTTGAGAACAGGGGAACTGGAGAAGTACCAGGCTCATTAAATCAGGTAAACTGTTTAACTCTTTTGCATCGTTTTTTAAAATCATACCTCATGAAACACCTCATATAACCTTCAGTTCATCATGTGTAGGTTTTTCCTGTTTCATTCTCTTTCACGTTTCCATTTCTTTTTCCTTGTTTTGTTAGGCTTATTTGGGCCTGAAACTAGTCAGAGTGATTAGATATATAGGAACTATAACCCTCGGCACTTTTCAAATTTCAAGTCTATAAAGCCATGTTATTGCATTTGATGATAAATCTTGGATGAACTTTGTTGTAACACTGGCCAATCTGCTTGCTTATCGTCTTTGTTATATTGCTAAAATGGTTTTCGTTTCATATTTACAAGGAGCCTGTATGGAGCTTGCAATAGGGTCAATCTTTGAAATGATGAGGTACTGTGGGGCTCCAATTTGCAAGTACTTGGACAACCACCGCAAACTTGAAGAAAAAGTGGAACGTCTTAGAAGAAAATTGAATGATCTAAACATTCGAAAGCAAGACATAGAATCAAGAAAGGAAGCAGAGCTTCGCAGCAAAAAATTGGTAAAGAAAGAAGTCGAGAAGTGGCTTGTAGATGTGGAAACGATGAATGCTGGAATGCAAGCGATGGAAGACATGCTGCGCATTGTCCCCTACTTCTCACGTGCCCGCCTCGGAAAGCTCGTTTGTCGAAAGATTGAAGAAGTGAACGAAATTTACGAACGAGGTGGATTTCCTGAGGGTGTCGCCATTGATGGACCTCCGACCATCGGAAAGACATTACAGACAACAAACCTCGAAGGTGAAATCGATATAAAAGAACTAATATGGGAATACCTGATGGGCAATGTGGTTGGGATGATCGGTGTCTGTGGAATGGGCGGCATAGGAAAAACTACCATTATGAAACATATCAACAATCAGTTGTTGAGGGAGAGTCGATATGATAAAGTTATTTGGGTCACTGTATCGAAAGAGTTCAATGTTGTCAAATTGCAGGAAGATATTGGATCTGCCTTGAATCATTATCTTCCTAATGATGAATTGGAACGAGCAACTATGTTGATGGATATCTTGAAAAGAAAGAGATTTGTTTTAATCTTGGACGATGTATGGAACAGGTTTTCCCTGCGTGATGCGGGAATCCCTGAACCAACTTTACAAAATGGAAGCAAGTTAGTAATCACCAGCAGATCAATTGATGTTTGTCTATCTATGGGTTGTGAGATACTCAAGGTGCCGCCTCTTTCAAAACAGGAGTCCTTCAACCTTTTCCTAAATCATGTAGGGGATGATGTTCTACAAGTTCCAGCTTTGAAAGAGATTGTGAAGCTTATTGTTGACGAATGTGGTGGTTTGCCACTCGCCATTGTGACAATAGCCGGTAGCATGAAAGGGGTTGATGATGTTCGTGAGTGGAGAAATGCACTGAATGAATTACGTGAGCGTGTAAAAAGCGTGAGAGGTTTGGACAATGAAATATTTGAATGTTTGATGTTTAGTTATGACCGTTTGGGAGATCTAAAAATTCAAGAGTGTTTCCTATATTGTTCCTTGTATCCCGAAGATTATATAATTGAAAGGAACGAGTTAGTAGAAAAATGGATAGATGAAAAACTCATTGATGAATATGGGAGTAGACAAGCAATGCGCGACAGAGGACATAGTATTTTAAACAAGCTTGAAAATAATTGCTTGGTAGAGAAGGTTAAGGATTTTTTCGAGAAAGGGGTCAAGATGCATGACGTTTTGAGAGACATGGCATTGTCTATTAGAAGCGTTGGACCTCGATTCATGGTGAAAGCTGGCATGCTATTAAAGGAACTACCAAGCGAGCATGAATGGACTCAGGATCTTGACAAGGTTTCCCTGATGGAAAATTCAATAATGGTAATTCCTCCCAATATATCACCAAAATGTGGATTTCTCTCCACCTTGTTGCTGCAACAAAATCATGGATTTGAAAGGATTCCAGAAGTTTTCTTTGAGTTCATGCATGGATTAAAGGTTCTAGATCTTTCTTATACTAGTATTCTTGATCTGCCAAATTCCATTTCTAACTTGGAAAATCTTACGACACTGGTGCTTAGAAGATGTTACAGGTTAAGATATGTGCCTTCGGTAGCAAAACTTAGAGCACTGAGAAAGTTGGACCTTTTTAATACAGCTATTGAGGAGGTTCCTCATGGTATGGAAACGTTAGTCAACCTCACTTATCTTGGCTTACATTCAGGGAGTCTAAAGGAGCTACCCAGGGGAATACTACCCATGCTTTCTCATCTTCAGTACTTGGCAACCACACTCAACATAAATGGAGAGGAAATGACCAAATTGGGAAAGCTGGAGACTTTGACAGGCTCATTTCCTGAGGTGCAAGATTTCCAAAAGTATGCCAAGTTTATACGGGGTCGATGGCCTACCAGTTACCAGCTTGTAGTGGGATCACCTTGGTCTGCTGAGCACGATGATTTGACCGAGCTGTTTGAGAACCCTGAGGAATTTCATAATGGGATAACTCTTATCAATTGCGAGATAGGTAGAGAAGATCTTGTGCTTCTCCCAAATGATCTTCACGGTTTGGCTATTAAGAAGTGCCCCAATCTCTTAAGCTTAAACACCATTTCTTTGTTCCATGAAGCTAATGACTTGAAGATATGTTATATTAGCGAGTGTGAAGGGATAGAGTGCGCACTTGACTTGTCATTATTGTCTTGCAACTCAATTCAGAACATTGAGGTGTTAAACCTTAAGGGATTGCGCAACTTGCGCCAACTTGTGAGTGGACTAGCCATTGAATCTACATCTCCGGCCACTCCAGCTGCCCCAGCACCGCCTGCCATCTTCTCTTCCCTTGTAACATTTGAATTGAGCAACTGTTCAAGCATGAAGAAGTTATTTTCACGTGAGATATTGCAGGGCTTCCAGAACCTAGAATTTCTTAAAGTTGAATCTTGCAGTAAAATGGAGAAAATAATAGCAGTGGAGGAAGATGAAGGAAATGGCAAAGGAGAAGTAGGGAGTGCCAACATAACAGCATTTATTCTTCCCAAATTGAGGAGGCTAGTCTTGTGGGAACTACCGGAATTGAAAAGCATCTCCAGTGCTGGTGTTGTGATTCATGCAGATTCTTTCCAATACATTTGGATAGTGGAATGCCCGAAGCTAAAGAGGATTTCACTGTCTCTTGCCTTGCTTGAAAATGGGCAGCCATCGCCCCCTCCCTTCCTCGAAGGAATCTACATAAAGCCAAGAGAGTGGTGGAAATCAGTGGAATGGGATGACCCTAATATTATGGATGTCCTCTCACCCTTTGTTGCTTGTAAAGAAGACTAAAGAGCCACTTGAATAAAAGTGTTACTCCCACCAAATTGTCTTTATTCGATTCTTTCATATGCGCATATACATAAACATATAGTTTTGTAACATTCCTTAGCTGGAAAAATTAAGTCCAACCAAAGCATTTTATATCAACCTTATATCAGCTAAAAAACTTGGCAAAATCCCTAACTTACCTACAAAGCATGTGTATAAGGTGTCTAAACACGTTCATGCATGTGCTTAGTTTTGATGTTGGCATGAACCAACCTCAATGTTATGGTAGGTCCATGGACCCCAATGTTTCAGGTTCTAAAGTAGAGAACCAAACAAAGCAATTAAAGGCAACATCCAAAACTGAGCAAACAAATATGCAAAAAGATAAAAAGTCTCAACCATTTATCTTCTTGTTACTTTATATTATCATAAGCTAGCATATATCAAAGGCATAGCCCAAAAGTCCAGCCGTCTTGTACATCAACCACATCACATATTCATGGGAACCTATACATATACCTATTATTTCCCACTATCATCATAATGTAAATATAATATAAATAAGAAAGTCTGATCATGGCCATATCTTATTCTCCCAGCAGCTTGTAAAACCATCTTCAAAACTCAGTAGCTCAACTGCCACCATATCATCTCGATCCCTCAGTATCATATGCATCGCCCAACTCAGTAATCAGGCTTTATCTGATGCCATGAATTTTTCCACTCTCTTCGTTATATCATTATCTTTTGTGCTTTCTGCTTTACAATGCTTGAAGGTCTAACCATTTCAGCTTCTTTTTTCCTTTCTTTTCTTTGCTCTGTAAGTAAATAGGAAATCTGAACCAGAAAAAAATCCCTCAAATGGTATGCCACCACTGTACCAAATATTTATAGCATTTAACCTCAGTTTGACCATGCATTTAGCATGCAAGTTTAGGGCATTGATTTGTTTGCAGTGTGGAAAAGCAAGAATCGGACTGACTTATATCTTGATTTGATTTCACTAGAGGTACATCCCATGTGAGGCAAAAAACTGAAAATCTGGGTGATTGACCTGATGCAGCCTTAGCCAGTTTTCTGCAGCCTGCATAAGGGAATTAGCATGTTGACACTCGCTCACGCCATTCTGTGTCCACATGGATCCTTTAAATTTATAAGATGCCATTCCAAAAACAGGTAGTGAAATCTGCGGTATACCATCAGCCTTATCAGGATATACTACAAATGGTGTTTGGCCACTTCCACTGCCTACAAAAGCCAAATAAGGGTCACTTAAAGGACATGAGAAATATTTAAACTATTTTAAAAAACACAAAAACATGTTGTACGATGCGTTAGTATGAACCATAATTTCAAATCTCTAGTATGAATAACAATTCAAAATTTTCTTTGCTATAAAGCATTGATGCTATAAAGGAAGTGAATAAAAAGGTCTTCAAAACTATATCATAAGTAATTATACATTATACACTATATGAGGTATCATTTTATTATAGTATTCAAGAAAGATACAGATGAAGGCACACAAGATTCAAAATGCATCTACCAAATATCAGAGAAGATATCAAATTGCAAAAGTTTGAAGCAGATAAAACTGACCAGTACCAGTAATAGCAAAATGTATGGGCCGTTTAGTAATTCAGAATTGGCTGGACAACTATAGAACAGGTTGCTGAAGCCAATGGATTAACACTGGAAGAGTCACTCACAGCCTAATAAGATCCCTAAATCTAACCGCTAAAATGCCTTATGGTCAACTATTCCTCTCTCGAAGACCACAGTGCATGCAAACTCGTGTGTTGTACCACAAACCCCAAGAAAACTAAAAGAAGATATCGTTACATTTTCTAGCAGAATGTGATATAGATAGAAAATATCAGATGCTCAAAGAACTAAAAATAAACGTGAATGTATCAGAGTTTGCATGCTTTCTATATAGAGCAACAATCGAACTTAGCTCTTTTCTTGATGGACAGTCCATCTTCAGACTTACCTCATCAAAAGCTCATATCCCATGTTTTAAGTTTTAACAATGAAGAAAGACACCTAACAACTAAAAGTGATCAATTTGCTTCTGGAGTAAAGTTTCTCCCAGCAAGGAACGCCCTCGATTCAGCAAATGCAAGGGGATGAGGAATGCAAATCACATTTGACTAAATAATTTTAACTTTTCAGTATAACAGCAAGCAGATATTGGCACAAAAGGCATTCAGTCATACTCGTAATAATCTGATACAAGCAACTTAATAGGTGAATGAAACAGAAGGGATATTCATTTTCTTAAATGTTGCATCAAAGAACAATATAATATTATAAAACCTATCAATTTTAGATAACCACTTCACTGTCAAAGGCTGAGATTACGAACAAGTAAAGTGGGGCAGCAAAAAAGGAAATGGGAAGCAAGGGAGGGAAAGAGAGAGAGAATTTCCCCAATCCACTATAACAATAATAACAAGGATGGCGATTACCTTCTATGGGTGTGCAAAGGGAATGGTATGTTAGAAAGCAAGCATCCAAATCTTTTAATGTAGGACCTGTAGGTATTCGGTATATGGGATACCTACAAAGGTAAAATCAAGGAAAATGAACATTTGTACATTACCCCAAAAAGAGAAAAGGTGATACAGGAACTTTACCATGCAACAGATATCCAACTGATGGGCAGTAAGTCACAACTTCTTAATGTCTTCAAACCAGAATACTCGCAAGCCAGATCAAATATCTTTAACAACAGTAGAAGAGAATAAAAATAAATAAATAAGAGTTGATGCAGAGATCAAACCAGAGCCATTAAATTAAAAATAAAATAACTAGCCTTGTCTGCCAAGGGTTCACGACTATAAGGAGTATCATGCTCAAAAAACTCAAACAGCAGGCGATCTCGAGAGTTCCCAGCTTCACTATCATCACTAAAAAAGCCTTCATGCAGTGTACTGTTTTCATCACTTATGGAGAAACTGCTAACTCCAAAATGGATATCATTTGTCAAATTGAATCGACTACGCTGTTCTCTAGGAAATTTAATGCCTTTGTCTATTTCATAATCACTACTTCCATCACTACTTGAATCTCTGTAGTAGTCACCATCACTCTCTTCTCCAGATAGCCTAACCACACAATTCAAATTTGTTGTGAGTTAATAAATCGTGCATACACTCTAACTCAAAATACAAAGTAGAAACACAGAATTTGATACAATCACATTGTATTGAGTCACGGTGTAACCTACATTGCAGAAAAGTGAAAGGAAGAACAACTTGGTAGCAAGATAAATTGAACAAGTACAGTCATCCCCTATTGGAATGTACATGTTTATCGTAATGGAACAGCATATAGCCACAGAAAAATTACTTTTACAAAATTTTTGTTAAATTTTCATATATAAGAATATGTTTTAGATCATTGAATGGCTAAAAGATACCCCATTAGGGGTTAAAGTGACAGGTGTGATGTGCTATAATAATAGTAGTATTTAATTTTCCACACCAGGAAAACGAATTTTTTGTGCATTAAAGAATCATGATACAAAGAAATTTGACAATGTAAAAAAATCACTCTGATCAAGTTTTGCAAAGCCTCAACAATTTAGGCATGCAAAACCTGAATAAAGCACATGAGCTGAGTTCTTAAGTCATGATCAAGACAGTTCCCAGTTCGGGGGGAGGGGAACCACTAAGCCAAAGGCTCTTGGTTTCATGAACAAGACAATACTTTCTTAAGTTTAGCATACAAAAACATGCTATGTTGCCATTCGTGGTGTAAGAAGACATAAGTGAGTTCACAGTACACACATGCTCTACAATTTTCTATAACTCAGAATGTCTGTTTTCAATTACCGATGCTAGTAACAAGAAAGCGTTTTTCCCTAGTAGAGACCTAATGATAGCCAACATGTTTATATCCATAGTAGTATCTTTATTTGGGCTACAGCAATACTACAAGAATCCATCTACATCAAGCTTCTTAAGGTAAAACATCTGATTTAATAATTCCCACACCCTAGATCCTTCACGAAGACAAACTACAGTATCATTATTCTCACCTGTGAAGCCTATAACAAAATCCTAACACCATATAGATCAACAGTGCCAGCCGCTAAAACCACCAGGTCACTGCTTAGTTTATGGATAAACCAAAAGAAGGGATTTATATATATATAGGTGACCAAATGAAACAATGAAGAGGGACCAAGGGGGTGCAACCCCAGAAAAAATTATATTTCACAGAACTACATTTACTGAAAGCTGATAAATTAAATTTTGCTCTCACTAAGTGAACAACTAACAAAAATAAATTGTTTTTGACCAAATTAAAATGATTTATGGTCTTTACTGAATCAACATAAAAGCAGATCATACTGGCAGTATCTTTATGTAAAGACAACAAAGCATGATGATTCTTTTGGAGAAGAAGATTCCAAAAAATGGATCAATAACAAAACAAAAAAAATTGCATTTTCTAAATATCAATAGGCAATTTTCTTTACTGTTTTGTGCTTTCAATAACCACAAAGTGAGCAATACAACCCAAGTCTCAAAGAATGGAATCAACAGAAAACATCATTAAGGTATTTTCCTCTTCTGGAGCTACAACAGTATCTGTCCATTTTCAAAATCATAAAACCAATGACATCATCCTTCCATGAAAAGCCAAGCAAATGTTAAAACATACAGATGAACGACCATTGAAGGAAAAGAATACAAGAAACTATAGTAGACAATTAGTAAAATGCAAATTAAATGATACCAATCAGCATTTAGAAAACAAGTACTAGCACCATTCGATGGGCGTCAGATATATGATAACGTACCACAACTTGAAAAGCATAATATAATGAAGCAGAATAAAGTAATAGCTGTTGGCCAATAAAATACCGTAAATTCAAGAGAGAGGGAGAGGGTGAGAACTGAACTTCATCTGACAGAATAGAATGACAAATAAACAAAAATTGTGCATCCAGATAAAATTTGTACTACTTACTGCAAAAACCTGCATATTTTTCATCAATATATCGAGATACATGGGACATTTTACCTCAGCTTAGCATTTGCCTGCATAGATTCACTATATAATTGGATCCCTGACAAGTATGGAACATAGTACTGAACAACACCATCACTCCCATCAAGTACCAAAGGCACCCCAGCGCCATATGCACTCCATTCCTTGAAAGACTCCCACAAATCAGACAAGGTAAAGTAAGGCTGAAACTCCACATCACAAGTCCTCCGTCCCCTCATCGTTTTCTACACCAATACAAAATGAAAATTCATTCAAATCCCCATAATAAAATGAACAAAAAAAGGAGAAATTACCAACCATGGCATATAATTGTACTCTAGCCGGTGCTTAGATGATTGAATTTCCTCAAATTCTCAAATTACAAACAACAAAGAAAAATAAAGCCCTATTCTAGAAAGTTCTACTGTTTACATACCCACAAATGATGAAGAGGCATTTTAAACAAATACCAAACAACATAAACAGAACTACCATAATCCTTCTAAGAAAAAAATTGATAAATTTTCTTGCTCGTTCTTGCATATTTTTAGCAACCAAGTAGAAAAATCATACAGATGAGAAAAGGAATATCAGAATATATCAACCTTCGAAAAATATTGAGCCGTGACCGAAGGCCTGGTCGACTCCAGGAACCTTTCAAGGTTACTCCTTGAGACCCCAGTTTCCTCAGAGCACGGAACAGTACTTGAAACCAAAGTCTCCTTAGGATTCTTCTTATTATTATTATTATCAGAAGCTAAAGCCCTGTTCTTTGCTGGTGATGATGACCAATTACTACTACTTTTCTCATTATCTTCCTTAACAACTTCCTGTTTTTGCTTCTGTTTTTGTGCTTGGTTTTGATTTTTTCTAGCTTTTACTGGAATGTAAAACCGATCCTCTCCTCGAACCTTCCCAAATTGCAACCCAGTCCCCAGCATTCTCACTTTCAACTTTCTATCTATTATCAGCCCTCCGCTTGCTGCCTAGAAACAGAGGAAGAACAGAAACAAAATGCAAACAAAAAAAAAGTCCAAAATAAACTGCTTTGTTCTTCAACTCTTTCCAAAAATCAACCCAAACAAAATTTAAGTTAAACAAAGCATAGGTTTGTTGAGAGAAGGTAAAAAGTTAATCAAACTCTCAAATCTGGAAAGATAAACTTGATTTTTCCTGAAGTTTCTTGCAGTTTCTTAAGAAACAAACAGGAAGAAGAAAAAGAACCCAAAGGTTTTCAGTCAAAGAACAGAGAAAAATGTCAAGGAGGAAGAAAGGGATTGTTTGGTTGATTAGAAAAGGGAAGTAGAGAATTTGAGAGAGAAAGAAAAACAAAAATGGGAAAGGCGTGAAGGAGAGGAAAGGAAGACTAAACCACACTATTTCTATATACGCTTTCTTCAACTTAGTTCACCAATAGGCAACAAGGAAGGAAAAAAAAACATTATCATTATCTCCTTTTTTTTTCCCCTAATCCACTCCTTAATTACCAAATTAATTTTCATTAAGTTCTTGATTAATTTCTTACCTTATTTTATTTATTGAATTGAATTTATTCGTTATTGGGAAAATAATTTCGGGGTTTTTTTTTTAATGGGGAGGATTAATTAGGTGAAAAAGTTGAAAAGGACGAAAAGAGTTTGTAAATATGAGATTAGTTGGGTTCTGAGGAAAACAACACGTGCGGAGTAAAAGAGTTGGTAAGGCACGTGCATAAAGCATTCTTCTAACATCCGACCTTTTTCTTTTTTTTAATTATATAAAATTTTCAACAAATTATATGAAAATATTATATTTAAAAAAAACATAATACTTAAAAAGATCCATGAATTATTTAAAAAAATTTAAATAAAATTTTAATTTTTTATTATTATAACTAATTATAAATTAATTATTATTAATCAAAATATCACTTATCATTTTATATTACATAGTGCTAACATATCATAATAAATGATAATGTGATATGTTTATATGATAGGGTAACATGAACATGTGGTATTTTTTACTTCTAACATAACATAAAAATAATAAGTAATATTTGATTAAGAGAAAATTATGAGTAATAGCTTTCCTCATAAAGTGATTTCAGAAATAACTACTTATATGAAAGTATCTTTTTTTATCCAAATATAAACATGAATAGACCAAAATGCTTTTAAAAATATCTTGACAAATTAAGCTCTCGATATCTCCCTCCCATAATAGAGAAAATAAAAATAAATGCTCAGCTATTTTAACTCGTTAGTCTCTCTCAGCTCTATAAACTGTATCAACTCTGTCAACTCTTTGTTGAGCATTATCATTATCGTGTTGTCATCTATCTCTTGACATCTAGTCATATTGTCATTGATAATCAGATCTTATAGCAGATATGACATCAATGTATATTATTGAATTTATTATTGTAACACATTAATTTTTAAAATTTTTTGTGCACATTAGAACATAGATTAAAAATATTGTCCAGAGTTGTTACACGCCATGCATCTAAAATGCACATAACGTTTAAAAAATATATTGAAATAACATGTATTAGCACATTACGTGTAACATTTTTATTGAACATGGCATGTGACAATGTGCATAAAGCATTTCTTCGAACATGCTACCTTTTTCTTTTTTTTTTAATTATATAAATTTTCAACAAATTATACGAAAATAATATTTTAAAAAACATAATACCTAAAAAACCCATGAATTATTTAGAAAAATTTTAATAAATTTTTAATTTTTTTATTATTATAACTAACTATAAATTAATTGTTACTAATCACAACATCACTTGTCATTTTATACCACATGGTACTAACATATCATAATAAATAATAATGTGATATGCTTATATGGCATGATAATATTAACATGTGACATTTTTCACTTTTAGCATAGCATAAAAATAATAAGTGACATTTGATTAATAATAATTATCAATTATTAATTATAAAAGTCTATTTGACTTAAAATAAAATACAAAAACTTAATTGAGCGTGTTAAAAGAATAAAAGTTTATGTGAATTTTGTTAAATAGTTTTGAAACTTTTGAAAATAGGGTAAACTCTACATAGACCCTTGTTATATAATTTTTTCTCACAGAATATCTTGGGATTATTTTATATATATATATATATAATTTTATGTTTTATTTTTTTTTCAAAAGTAATAATGGTGTAATTTTTTTATAAAAAGATAATAAAAACCTCTGTGTTTTAATTGTTTTTTGTTTAATTAAAACAAATTAAGGCTTGTACAATTGAAAGAAGGCAATCTTTCGACACAAACTTCATATCCAAGGATTCGTGGACACCTTTAGAAAGTAGCATCCAGGTGTTGTGGGCTGTACTTTCTGAGGTTATCGGCGTGGCGGGCATAAAACTATCAAAGGGTAAAGGCTAGACTACTCCTTAGCCTCAGAAGCCATTGCTGATGACGTTCATGACTCTTACATTCTCGTTGATGTTATGGGTAGTGATCATTGCCTTATTGGCCTTATACTCAAGGTCTAGTCTAGTTTGCAGCAACAACACTGGATTAATTGGTCTGTGTACAGGATAAGTGCAACATTGTTGTCAACCAAAACCCAACATGAAAGAAGTTTGACAGTGTGGGGAGTTAAAACATTGGAATTTCACTGATGCAACTGCTACTGCCATTGCTCAGGTTTTTGTCAAAAGCAGATTTGCACGAAGGTTGTAGTGCAGAAAACAGGAAGAAGGTTGAAACTCAAAAGCCATTTGAACTTTATGAGATTATATTAAAATGTATGGGGCATTTGAAGAAGAGAACACTGTGAACCTGCATCCGAAGCAACGAAGGAACTGAAGAAAGCCAATAACAGTATTGGAGTAGAAGGGAAAGCATTGAATTTTATTGCAAGTAATAGGCAGTGTCACCTATGTTTCTTGTTTGGATAGTGAGAAAGTGAGGAGAGAGAGAGAGAAACGTTAGAAAAGAAAGATTAAAACAAGAAGGTTGTTATTGTCTTTTTATAAAAAAATTAACAGACAATTAACATTGTTATTTTTTTTGGGAAAAAAAATAAAATACAAGATTTTATATGAGATAAAAATAACCCCAGGGTGCTATGTGAAAAAAGAATATACCATAAAAGATTTATATGGAGTTTACCCTTAAAAATATTATGTCCAAAAAAATAATGATGGTAATAATAGTCATAAAATACTCACCAACTATAATCCCTAATGCACTAAAGTTATTTAAAAGAAGGATATAATTATTTTATAAAGCAAAAAAACTTTAAAATTTTTACAAAAAAATGTTTTATTATATATTTAGTTAAGATAAAGTTTTAGATTTTGGAAATTGATATAAATTTTCTTTATGTATATTTAAATAGTTATGAGAATTTGAAACAAAAAATGTTGATACAAGAATAAATGTTTTTCTTTGAGGATGTGTTTGGTAATCGGAAAATAATTTGTTGTAGAAAAAATTTTTTGTAGAATATTTTATAGGAAAATTTAATATTTTCTATTATTTGGTTCAACTGTTGAAAATATTTTATATTGTTTGGATTATCTTGTAAAAAATATTTTCCATCATTGTTGTTTGGGTGATAAAATGATAAATAAGAGTTGATTACAAAACAATAGTATCATTTGGTTATCTCATTAAAATTAAAAATAAAAATGGTGAAAATCAATAGTGATATTTTCCAAAACATTTAACCACATATTGTAGCGAAAGTAAGCTATAGTTTATTTTTTTAAAAAAAAAATTCCTTCTCATCACCTTTTTACCATAATACTATAAAAATATCAATATCCATCGATTATGTAAAACATTCAAAACCTATATTTATAAATGTGTATTCATCAAATGATAGTTATTGAAATATTTTTTGTTATAATTATTGGTAAGATTTATTAAATTTATAAATAAAAATATTAATTACATTGAATGATTTTATTAAAAATTATTTTTAAAAATTTTAATAGTATTAAATAATTGAAATATTAATATTTTAAGTTAAATATTAATATTTATAAAACCTATATTCCTAAGCTTAGTATAAAAGCATTTTTTTCTATTTTTTGAAAAAATGTCTTACGCCTCTCAAGGGCAAGAGGCATAAGACATTTGACGTGTTCAATGAGTATTTTTTCTATTAACTCGTAAAATGTTTTACATCTGAAATAAATTTTTCGTCTTCCAAATAACAATAAGTGTTGAAAACGATTTTAAAAAGATATTTTACGTCAAAACAAACAGACCCTTAATTCTATCAACTTTGCATAAAATAATAACCAGCAAAAAAAATATATTTTTGTAAATGCATTGAAATTTGTTATATTTATTTTATATTTCGAACTCATAGAAAACCATGCATACACACCACAAGTGAGATTTACAAATCCAACAAAAGAATAATAAATGAAATTATAATATTTAAGTATAATCGACCACAATCATTCTCATAAAGAATTTGTCATATTTTCTTCTATAAGAAAGATTCGCTGTATCTATCATTTATTATTATATTTAACATTTAAAATTTAAAATTATTTATGATTAAATATATTTTTAAAGTCAAATTAATCAATAAAAATATATTACAATGGTTAAGTGTCTGTTTAGCTTTTTTTTTCAACTTATTTACCTCTTCAAATCAGAAGTTAGGTCAAATAAAAGTTTTGAAAAGATTTTAAAAAAATATTTTTTTTAAAGAATAAATTTTTTTAAAAAAAAGAGCTTCACTGAAAACGCCAAAAAGAAGTTTTCCCTTCCCTTTTTAAAAAACGCGTCAAAAGAAAGAAATTAAAAAGAGGAATGCTAAAAATAAAGATATCAAGAGGGCAAAAGAGTAATAAATAAATAGAAAGGAGGGCTTAAAGGAAAAAAAAGAATATTTTTAGAGATCTCTTTTGGCTTAAAAACTAAATATCAAAAAGAGAGATATTAGTTAGAGGGAATAAGGAATAACCAGAAAATAGGGTAGAAAAAATAGGGATGCCGAGTGGGAGACCACCGACATTAGTGATGAAAATCTTGAGAGAGAGAGAGGAAAGGAGTTGTGATAGAGGAAGAGTGTGGACTACTAATCTGTCCTTAATAACTCAGATACCATGAAGAAAAACTCAACAAAGAAGATAAGAAGTGCAAATGGTGAATTTGTTATTTTCTCTTTTGTTTTTTGATGTAGAGAAACTCTCTGCTTTTATAGAGTATATGATTTGTTTCTGTGGAAAGTTTTTCAATGGTATAGAGGAAATTTCTACTAAATTTTGTGCTGATTTTTAGCACATGAGGGTTATGATTTTGGGTTGTGCTTATTTTTAACACATGTAAGCTATGATTTTGGGCTATTGCTTGTACATCTACAGAGGTGGTTTTGTACTAATTTTCAACACATATGAGCTGTAATTGTAGTGTTGCTACTATT